GTGGGCATGGACAATAGTGAGGAAGGCTCTCCCTGCCTGCCCAGGCAGGCGGGGAGAGTCCTCCAGCCCTGTATGGGGCTGATTGTACACCATGTCTCCCGAGTCCCTCAGGAGCATGGGAAAACACAAGTGCTTTATGTCCAGGGGGGGGGGGGGGGTCAGATACCTGCTGACCCACAGCCACCCCCCTCTCACCAGTCATGCGTTGCCCCGGCAAGCACAGACGACGAGAAGGAGCCAGACATGTCCAGGAGATAAAATGTTATGAAGGGGCCTGGCGTAGACCAAGACGCCGCCGTGCATATATCTTCTACACTCACGCCGCTGAATAAGGCTGTTGACACAGCCACAGCCCGTGTAGAATGTGCACGGACCCCAGTGGGGAGGGCTCTCCCCGCCCGTTCATAGGCATGTGTAATGCACCTGCATAGCCATCCTGCTAGGCGCTTCTTTGAGAGGGCTTTTCCAGCCACACCATCCCTAAAGCACACAAACAGTTGTTCAGTGCGCCTAATGGCAGCCGTGCGCTCTACATAGCATGCTAGCGCACGCACTGGGCAGAGGAGGTGCAATTTAGCCTCCCTGGCCCCAATATGGGGTGGAAGATTAAAGCCACCTAACTGAATAGCCCTTGATCTGAATGAACTTCTGATACTTTTAGGAGTAAAGGAGGGGTTCGGCCTGAGTGTCGCCCCGCTACGGTCACCCCGGATCAAAAGACAACTTGGGTGTACCGACAGAGCAGTCAGCTCGGACACTCTTTTAGCCGAAGTCAAGGCAAGTAGCAATGCTGTCTTCCATGACAGTGCTTCCAGGGAGGAAAGCTCCAGAGGCTCAAATGGTTCTGTGACCAGAGCCTCGAGCACCAACGGCAGGTCCCACTGTGGGGCGGAGGCGTGCACTACCGGGCGCTGCCTCCTGACCCCCTGCAAAAACCGCGTCATAAGCGGCTGACTGAAGGCTGACCTGCCTCCAAATCCCTCATGGCAGGACGAGATGGCTGCTGCATACACCTTAATTGTGGAATGAGCCAGCCCCCTGTCCACCAGTATCTGTAAGTAGGTAAGAATAGAGCCCAGCGTGCACGACAGAGGCTCTAGACTCCTTCCTTCACACCATCGCCGGAATCCCGCCCACTTTGGCCTGTAACAAGCTGTGGTGGATCCTGCTCTTGCTGCTTGGATAGTCTGAATAACGTTATCAGACAGCCCCACCTGTCTCAGCCTGTCCCTCTCAGGAGCCAAGCCTGGAGAGGTTGGCCCAGAGTGGGTAACGCCCCTATTGCACCTGCTTCCTGAGACAGCGCTCCCCAGACCTGAGGAATCGCCCAGGGCTGGCCCACCATCATCTGTGTTACCCCCGCGTACCACGGCGCCAGGCGGCGATCTGGGGCCACCAGGATGATTGACAGCTGTTCCCGCCTCACCCTCTCCAGGAGGGGGGGGATAAGGTGCAGCGGTGGAAAGGCGTAAAGCAGCTTTCTTGGCCATGGCTCGTGTGCAAATGCGTCGACCCCCAAGGGCAGGTTGTCCCACCGAGCCAGGGAGAACCACAGGGCACAGTGGCTGTTGCGCCGATTGGCGAACAGGTCCACCTCTGCTCTCCCGAACTGAGTCCAGACCTGCTTCACCACCTCCGGGTGAAGCCTCCACTCGCCTGGCAGGGGTCCGCCTCTCGACATGAGGTCGGCCCCCCCGTTCTCCCGTCCCGGGATGTGCAGGGCCCTTAGAGACAACACAATCTGTGAAACCCACAGCCACAGGTTCTCTGCTGCGGTCAACAAGGCTATTGAGCGGACTCCGCCCTGCCTGTTGATGTACGCCACTGTGGTGCGGTTGTCGCTCCTTACTAGCACATGTGTGCCCTGTATTAAGGGTTTGAAGTGCTGTAGGACCAACATCACTGCTTGCAGCTCCAGGAGGTTGCTGTGCCGTGCCTCCGTCAGAGGCCAGCAACCACCCACAGCTCTCTCTAGGCACGTCCCCCCCCATCCTGTCACTGAAGCATCTGTGAAGACTGTGACATAGGAGGTTACCTACCCCAGTGGAGCTCCCCTCCGCAGATTCTCTGGGGATTTCCAGAATCGGAGGTTGCTCTCTACTGAGGGGGGGATGGTCACCAGACGCCGTTTGTGTCTTTTGAGATCTAAACGAAGGCCGATAAACCACCTCTGCATGCGATGTGCATGCAGGAGTCCGAGTGGCACTATGGAGTGAGCAGCCGTCATGAGCCCCAAAGTCTGCATGATGATCAAAGCTGTCACTGTCGCCCCCTGACGCAGCCTGCAGACCGCCCGCAACAGGGACGCCTGTCTGCTTTCTGTCAGGGTGGCCCGTAGCCTGCCCAATCGGCCATAAAACCCCTGGCGGAGTCGGCTCACCGGTCTGGGTGGTAGCGGAGGAGGAAGCGCCAGGCCCACACGCTCCGCTGCCATGGCCATCACCATCGGGAAATCCTGACTGACAGATCGGCGTGGTGGCCCCACGCTGCCAGAAACGCCCGACAGTGAGAAGTCCTCCTCGTCTTCTCCCTCCTCGACAAGCGGAGCAGCACGGCTGGCCGGAAGTGCGAAGACGAAAGGCACCTCTCCGTCCTCCTCGTCCATCTCCACCACCTCCACATCGCCTCGGTCTGAATCGTCCTCAGGAACGGCATATCGTGCCTGCTGGAAGTGGTCCACGCGATGTATCCGTCGGAGCCGCGGAAGCGCCCGACAGGCACTGCAGGTCGGGGAATTTCCACCACCCTCCATGGCGTGGTCGGCCCCCAGACACTCGAAGCAGAACCGGTGTGGATCCGCGCCCGCGATCAGACCAGGGCAGGTGGGGCATGGCCGAGCTTCTAACAATGGTGAGTCCATTTCGTTTTCCTAAATCTTTGTTACGTTACGTTTCAACTCTTCGGTTCAGCTCGTCTGAAGAGAAAAAGGATAATGGGGCAGCGGGTGTAGCCGCCTTATATACTGTGGGCCTGCGCGCGCATTCAGGTAGGCTCGCCCCGATTGGCCGGCTACGTTTACGTAATTCAGTAGGTGAAAGCACGCACAGCATGATAGAGAGTAGTACCCATAGAGTCCAGTAGAGGGCGGAGCCTGTGAGAGATATAACATAACATAGGTACGCTCCTCTGAAATGATTGTCCCCTGCAATTATTATTATCCCTCATCGAGTTTGCTATTCAGATTGCTAACGTTAGCTTAAACAAACGTAACATGCAACGTTAGCCTAATCTAAAATGCTCTACTACGGCGTACCTTTCATGTGGCTCGTCAGCGCAGACTCTCCCATCGTTATTTTTTGCAAACTTTGCAGGAGGCTACTCGTGGGATTGACCCTCGTCTTAACCATGGCTTGTATTAACCAACGCTCGTTGAAACTGCAACCTCCTGGCATACTGTCATCTATCACTCATCAGAATGCCCAGGTCATACGTAAGAAAAACACTTGCAGGTCACGCGCATAGCGCGGGAAGGCCGGAGCGGAGCTGTTTTATGTAAAAGCGAAGCAATTAAGCGCGCTCCGACTTCTTTATTTTCTTTTAATCTAAAAAGCGAAGTAAAGCATTTACAATTTCAAGCACTTTATCCCAAATTCAAGCACCATTCCCAAAATTCAAGCACTTTTCAAACCTTGAAAACACCTCATACAATTTCAAGCATTTTCAAGGATTTCCAGCACCCGTACGAACCCTGCAACTCCTAATATTCACATCACAGTAGAAAATAAAAACACAATAAATCACACTTTCTTTTGCCACATTCTGGAAATCACTACATTAAAAAATAAAGCTTCCTATTGTGAGCAGAAATCTGCTTCCATTCCTGAATAGATTCCCAGGCAGCCTCCTTAGTGTCCATTTGCTTGCAGTCATAAAGAGCAAAATAAATAAAAACAACCAACAGAATAATGGCAAATCAGATCTGACTGCCCACAATGCACTGCTCTGCTTGGCTCGTCTCCAGGGTGTTCAGCCATGGAGGGTCGGCCAGAGCTGCTGCCGGGATAGGAAGATGCTTTTATTTATTTTGTGGCACTGGGTAATAGTTTAGTGGCCAGAGTCCAACGAGAACCCGGAAATGTTGAGGACCCCAAAGTGTTATGTTAGAAATATATAGTACGTGTCCCCAGCACATAGAAACTGCTAGATGCTAAATCACATTTGTTTGCACAATTAGCATAAATTGCACTAATTAGCATGAATTACCATTAAAGCCTAGAAAAATATTTGTACTCTGTGGGCTGATTTTGATATATTTTGGGTCGATTTGTAAGATTTAGGGGACTGGATCATTTGGATTGGACAGATTGCCTATTTATTACAAAAATAATTGTCCACAGTATCTCTACTGTGGACATAATAATCTTCATCTTGTGCTCTCTATATCCAATGACACTGCTCATGGATATCAAAATATGGCCACTTTCCAGTTTAAACTGCAATTTTACTTCCTGAAAATGTCAGAAATTGATTCAGCCTCCTCAATAACATCCAAGACCATTCCAAAATTGTCCAAATCGGACATGTCATCGTTTTACTTTTATTTACATTTCTAAAATGCCATTTATTTTAATAACGCAATTTATGCTAATTGTGCATATTGCCCAACTTTCACGAGGTACGATAAGTTAGCATCGTACCCCGTACTATACATTTCTAACATAAAGCTTTGGTGTACTCAACATTTCCGGGTTCACTATGCTGGCAATAGACTAAACTGGAAAAGTGGTCCCAAAGTATAGGACCACCCTACATGAACACAGCCTCTTCCAATGACACCAGAATACGAGGCCGAATCATTCCCCATGAGTCCGTGCAGAGGCACATGTCTGGGAACATGCCTGTTGGTTGCTTCAGCATGCTGTTGGAGTGGGGGGGGGGGTTATCGCTGTGCGGCGCGGCAGACATGCATCGCACGACTGACTCTGACATTGGATAAAGAACGGACAGAGGGAGAAAGCCAAAAGGAGAACATGACAACAGGAGCAGGAAGCAATGCTCACCCTCCGTACGCTGGGATTTGGGGGGGGGGAGCAGCCGTCCTGAATGTGTTGTACACCGTCCGTCCTCGACCTCTTAGGTGGGCTCCTCTGTACGCTGCTGCTGCACTGGCTGCTGGGTAGGGGAAACCTGGTACTGGAGGCAGAGGACAGAAGAGTATGAACACGGTCCCTGAGGTCACCAAGACCCCAAAACACGGCAACATTCCTGCTCAAAGCTCAAAGGGGCCTTTATTGTCATATGCAGCTACAGTGTAGATATGCAAATACAAACTTAAGTCACAGGCTCCTCCAACAATGCAACATAAATATATTGTATGTAAGACATTAAACTATTAAAAACATTTTTTAAATAGCGCAAAAATAAACTGCAGGAGAATTTAACTATATGCAAATTAAATAGAATAAGATGAGCTAAAAAAGTACGTAAAATTGAATGCTGAACAGTGAAATAAAAAACGTGTTATTTTAATAATAGATGAATATGTGAGATGCAAACAGATGTTATTTAGTAGTGATATTCACATGATACGCAATGAAAACAGAGTTTATTTCTATGGTTACAAACTCTGCTTGTAATGTTCATACAGCAGATATCTGCGTGTCAAAGGTTAGTGGCAATCGAGGTCAACGTTATAATAGTTTGAACTTTGAGCAGCACTTTGGAGCGATGCACAACACTGAGGCTAATACTGTTGGTCATGTGAAGGCAGCTTTTGGTCTTTCTATTCATACTGTAACAACATGTTTATTCTTATTTAATTGTATTCATTTTTTTTCTTTTTCTTATTCTTATTATCCCTGTGTATATTCTCATGTGTTTCTCTCTTATTCTGTTGCTGCTATAACATTTGTATTTCCCACAGTGTTCAATAAATGTACATCTTATCCTAAATCAGAATCAGAATCACAATCAGGTTTTTAGCAGGTAGGTTGACACGTACTGTACGAGGAATTTGACTTGATGTTGTGGTGCAAAGCTCTATATTGTATTCATATTTATTCTGTCTACAGTGTCTGTATTATACTGTCTATATAGTATACTGTCTACCTGCTATAGTGTATTCAATTTATATCCTGCTATTTATTATGTATATACCACTATAAACTGTTCAATTATATCTCTCAGATGTATATTTATATTATACTGGACATTACGTTGCACTTTACTGCTCCTTTTGCACTTCTGGTTAGATGCTAACTGCATTTTGTTTTCTTCGTACTTGTACTGCAATGACATTAAAGTTGAATCTGATATAATCTAATCTAAAAAGGCTGTTCACCTGTATTTGACATTAGCATTTGGATTATGTAAAGAAGGTGTTCTGCTGTTTGCAGTTGTGGAAACAGAATGTGAGCAGAAAGACAGAAGAAAGAGAGAGTGGAGCTATTGCTGTGGTTTGGTTATTAGCTTATCATTCATCTTAATTGGGGATGACTGACAAAAAGCTTCATTTGAGAACTGGGGTGAGTGAAGGTGGAGAAGGAGATGAAGGTGCCATAGCCAAGCCTAATTATACATATCTTCAAAAAGGAGATCTAATAAAATGCTAATAGAAACAGTGAATCATTCATTGACCTGATGGAAAGGAAGGGAAGGTTTGAGCCAAAGGATAAGAGTTTCTCAAAGAGAGACAAGGAGAGGAGAGAGGCTGGTAATTGTTCCAATTCATCTTTTGTCACCTTGACTTCAGGGCCGAGTGGCCTGGCTCCCCTTAAAGTCACTCTGATGATCCCCCCCTCACTTAGTTCCTGGATGCCGTGGGGAGCTTCTCTGTGTGTCACCTGGAAGGAGGGCCCGCGCTTACCCATTTTCTTTTTAAAATAAACTTTTTACACGCAATATTTTACTTTAATATTAGGCACAATACTAAATATATTTAGTTTACAACATTGTATTACATCATGTTATATACAAATATTCCCTTACAACATGTATTTGTACACTTCCCAAGTCCAATTGCTTAACAAGGCTTCATAAACTAAATGCTATTCCATGGCGGGGTATAACATCTTTATTAACACTTAAATGGTTCGTGTATCCTTGGGGATATAGACATTAGACAGGCTCTGTCCATGGATAAAATGGGTGTAATATGGGTCTAAAATATGGTAATTTAAATGAAATAACAGTGTAACATGGGTTAAATATCAGTGTAATACGGGTGTAATAATGGTGTAACATGGGTGTAATAGGGGTGTATTATCGTGTAATGCGAGTATAATAACAGAGTAATATGGCTGCAATGAGTGTAATAGCAGTGTTAAATGAGTGTATAAGGAGTGTTATAAGAGAGTGATATTGGTGTAATATGGTTGTAATATTGGTCTAATAACAGTGTAATATGTGTGTAATAATAGTGTAACAAGGGTATAATGAGGTTGTAATAAGAGTGTAATAATGGTTTAATAGTTTATAATAGGGGTGTATTAATGTGTAATATCGGTGTAATAACAGTTCTTTATGGAAGCAATATGGAAAGTAGCAATCAACTAATTTGCGGAAAATAAATCTGTGATATTTTATATTTTTCTGTCCATTTAAGGGTTAGGCTCTTCATTAATTTCACAATTGACGAGACATTTCCTGTTGTAGTTTAGTGAGTGTTAAACACTGCTGTATGACACTATGATAATTTTCATTTCATTTCAAACCTTTATTTAACCAGATTGGTCCCATTGAGATCATAGATCTCTTTTTCAAGGGAGACCTGCTCTGCTATCAAACATCTGAACCAATTAACCAGAAGAACGGGTCCTGAACCGCTGACATCATATCCTGTTAATAACAGCAGCACACAATACTAATACTGAAGGAGCCTGCCTGAAACAAACACACACACACACACACACACACACACACACACACACACACACACACACACACACACACACACACACACACACACACACACACACACACACACACACACACACACACACACACACACGTGTCCCAATGGCATTTTGGGAACTGGAAAGGTGAAACAAAGGTAGATCAATACAAAGCCATTTTGTAATTACAAGAACATGGGGGTGAATTAGGCAAACGACAGTCTGGAGAAATAGAAAATATTGATTTTAATTTACAAAATATATTTCACACCTTTTAATGTCCTTGCAGAAACAGACAATTAGATTTCCTTCACTCTTGTCCTTTGCTTCACTCTTCCTTTCCTCTGTACACACACTATTTTATCGCTCTCTCTTCTCTTATCACAGAGCCCAGGTATTTTTCACCTTAATGGACATGGTTAATGACAGGGTGGGGGTGGGGGGGTGGTGTTGAAGGGTTGGGGGAGGTGTACGGCCAAGATTGCAAAAGGCTTGTGGGTGGGTTGCAGAATGTGCGTTTGTTTTGTAGCACAGGAAAGTCTATTGTTGCAGTTGTGCGAGTCAGCAGAGTTTTCCTGTCTAAATTCAGGCTTTTGACGGTTGCACGTTGTTTGGAGGGAAGGCAGAGGAAGGAGAGGTGACGCAGGTTGAAATGAAGCAGGTGAGGGAGAAAATTAAGTTGTCGAAGTAACTGCAAAACAAAATGAATGAGGAGGAGGAAGATAACGACAAAGGAGATGGTGACAGATGGAAAAGGACATGTCCTCCTACCTGCATAGAATTCTGGGCTGTAGACAGCGCTGACCACTGGATTTAACTTCCAGCCTGGAGAGACAGACAGCGAGACAAAGACACAGACAGAGAGGGAGACAACAGGAAACAGTTAGTGTGCATACTTTATATAAACCTGTGTGACCTGACTGACCTTTAAACTACGTGGTAATGTATGAAAAGATTTAGGACACAGTCTTGAATACAATGAATAGAATACATTCGAAACTGCAGGAATACGATGAAATCAACTTTAAACATTTTGAAACATATGTAAACAGAACTGAACACACGCATGTAACCCATTAAAGTATAAGGAGCAGTTTGAAACCACTGTATTGGGCCGGGGAAGCAGTATATAATATATATTATAAAACGGACAAGTAAAATCAAGCAATCTGATTGGTTCTTAGCCGTGATATACTGAGCGTATACCACAGGTAAGTTACTTTTCACAACAACTCAGTATCCCTCCGCGTCTGAGAAAAACTGTATACAGTTGGTTTGAAAAGCAAACTGCCTGCAGTTTGCTTTTCAAACTGGAACAAGAAAGCAGCGGAGAAGTAACGGGGCAGATACCCTCCTTTTTACGCAGCGGTCCAGACATAGACATCAAACGGCAAAAACATACAGATTGCTTGATTTGACTTGTCCGTTTTATAAATATATTTACATTTCCTCCGTTACGAAACAAACTTACAAAGCATAAGATGGAAACATTTAAGGCTAACTTCGACCTCCGGGGGGGTCTTACTATGGAGGAGTGGATTGAGCAGTGCCTATCTCCAGAAAAAAAAGCACCTAAACGACGACATGCATAGCTACGTGAAGAGCAGGTAGACCAACTGGAAAAGTACCACCATTCAAAAGCTTTCTTGAAACAAAGCAGAGAAATTATGACCGTTAGTGGCCACAGGTGCGAAAGCTCTCTCCAGAGCTACTGGAAGCCGAATCTCGGGGACCGGAGAAAGTGGAGCAATATTCTCGCCACGCCAAGCAACAGCCTAGAACCACCTCAACCTATACAAGTAACCACGTAAGCCATGCTACTGATGCTGGACAATCAGGGAGAGCCTACCTGAATGTGCGCGCATATAAGGCCGCTACACCTCCCGACTGTCATCCTACACCCTCTTCAGCGAGCGGCATAGGAAAGACAGGGCCCCTAGGTAGAGGGCTCCGCCTGTGCTTATAGAACTAGGGTTACAATACGTAACCCCCTGTTCTATCTCACACAGGCTCCGCCCTCTACTGGACTCTATGGGTACAGTGGGTGGAGCCCCGATGGATAAACGCCCTGTCGCCCCTATCGACCCACCACACTGCCCCTGACCGGCCTTTGGTTAACAGCCACCGCACCCCAACTTCCAGCCCTGTATGGGGCTTACTGCGCACCATGCCTCCTGGGTCCCTAAGGAGCATGGGAAAACATAAGTGCATTATGTCCAGGGAGGGGGGGGTGGTCAGATACAGCCTACTGACCCACAGCCCCTCCCCCTTCACCAGTCCTGTGTTGCCCCAGCAAGCACAGACGATGAAAATGAGCCAGACATGTCCAAGAGATAAAACCTTATGAAGGGGCCTGGTGTAGACCAAGGCACCGCCGTCCACACTCACGCCGTTGAACAAGGCTGTTGATACAGCCATACCACGTGTAGAGTGTGCACGGACCCCCGTGGGGAAGGCTCTCCCCGCCTGCCCATAGGCATGTGAAATGCACTCACAGAGCCATCCTGTCAGGCGTTTCTTGGACAGAGCTTTACCGGCCACACCATCCCCAAAGCACACAAACAGCTGTTCAGTGCACCTAATGGAAGCCGTGTGCCCTACATAACATGCCAGCGCACGAACTGGGCAGAGGAGGTGCAATTTAGCCTCCCTGTCCCAGTATGGGGTGGAAGACTAAAGCCGTCTAACTGTATAGCCCTCGACCTGAACAAACTCCTTAACCTCTTAAGCCCTGAGCCTGTTTTTCAGGTCTCAGGCTCGAAAATGACATTCCCAGAACAAATGACCATATCTTCCCTTCTAAAAGGGTTACATTAATAATCTTTATTCTCAAAGTAATGATAAAACTGTGAGTTGGATGTAGAAAAGTTAGAATCAATATAGGTGTTTTTTATTTTAAAGAAAATTCAGATTTTACATAGTAAAAAACTGTAAATGATAGTGTCCGTCCAAAAATTATGTTTTACTTATAGTGAAAACTACCCTTGGATGATGGGTTAGTAGACTAAAAGCTTTAGTAATCCAAAGTACAACATATAATAAGTACCCTGTATCAAGATTGATGCAAAACAAGTGAAATTTGACCTTTTTAGAGAGATTTAGCCAAAAAACCCCACTTCTGGGGTCATTTGGGTGGATTTGACCTATCTCTGGCCCCGCTTGCTCGATTTTGATGAATGAAATCTCTTTATAACCGCTAGAGCCAATGGAATCGAGGGGAAGTTATATACACACCAAAACGTTAACAAATAAGGAGTGAGAGTGACGCGTTACCAAAACCGGAAGCTGCATACACTCTGGTGGCTACCATTAGCAGCTAACTTTTCCGCTCCGATTTTTACATAAAAAATGGAATTATGGATTATAAATAATTTTTTCAAAGGCACAGGTACATTATCAACCTATGGATCAACAGTTGTAGCATTTTTTTTCGTTTTAATGCCATTGAACACGTCTTTTGACCTAATTGACAGCTACGGTGAGACGATCTGCCGTAAAAGCTCCGTAAAGGTACGTGTTGTGATGTCTGTGTTTGCTTCCCCTGTCGCAATTTAGGATCGCTCAGTGATGATACTATACCTAAATAATCAGTGGAGTCTCAGCTTTAATCGGCTATATTGTATGTGCAGCTACGATAAGTAATAAGGGTATCTTTATCTTGAATTGTGTGCCGCAGTGCGTTCGAATTTTTTCGCTCAGGGGTCATTTAGACGCTTCTTATGAGACTTGTGTTTTGTTTTGGTAAAAATGGTTCATATCTTCAGTTAGCTGAGATTCTTCCCGTTAATCTGGTGCTACACATTAATAGTTTCATAAATGTTAAGAAGCCCTGAGACATTATCTCGAAAAAAACAAACGGTGGGAGGGGTCCAATGGGGGGACCGCCGTGCTTAAGAGGTTAAGTTCTTGGGAACAAAGGAGGGGATCGGTTTAAACGGGTAAACAAGTGTGCCTGGCCCCCAAACTGTGTGGGTGTGCTACAACGGGTACCAACTGTCACTATACCAAGTTTGTAATCCCTGCGACGTTTATAAATATTTGACGAGGATGAGTTACCTGATGGGTCGTTGGAGCGGGAGTGGAAACGGAAGGCAGAGATGGCATCGGTACCGGTTGACGACTCTGACTCAGAGGGGACTGAAGACAGTGAGCCAGACAGTGACAGTTCTGAGGGGGCAGAAGCCATGGACTCAACCTGTTTGGCCAAGTGCACGGTCAAAATGAGTCCCCTAAATAAGCCCCTCTGTTTCCCCCCCCCCCCCCCCCCCTTAAGGTTCCCAGGGGCAGCTAAAGTGCCACTTTCCATCAGCACCGGGGAGGCGCTCTCCTTGGTGCTGAACCCTGTGAGGAGTGCTCAAGCGTTGGCGGAGGAGGTGTAAGGCAGAGGAGGGTGAAAAAAAAAGTGTGTGAACCTCCAGCCCAGAAAGGGTGGTGGTGCCAATAAGAAGGCCGAATTTGGATGCTGAGGGGCAGGCATCAAAGCACCACAAAATCCACCCCCTTTCAGTATTACCAGGGGCATGAGGTTCTGGCGGGTGTGGATGGAGGGGTTTAGTCCGAGGGGGGATGCTTAAGTGCGGGTCCCCGGGCACTCATGGTGCACATGGTTATGGATGTGTGGTGGTGGTGCCAATAAGAAGGCCAAATTTGGATGCTGAGGGGCGGGCATCAAAGCACCACAAAATCCACCCCCTTTCAGTATTACCAGGGGCATGCGGTTCTGGCGGGTGTGAATATCTGGTTTTAGTCATGTTAGGGAGACATGCTGGAAGTCCTTAGTCCGTCCTTTGGGGGTGTTGGAGCGGCCAAATATAGGTATATTTCCCGTTCTCTTTCCTGGATGATGGAAATAACCTAAGTGCACATGTTAGGGAGACATGCTGGAGGTCCTTAGTCCGTCCTGTGATGCACTATTCCCCGCATTTTAAACACTGTTCCTCCCTTGGAAAGTGAGGTGCTGCAGCCTGTTCTCTGGGTAATACACTCTGTCCCTATTTAAGACACTTTCCCCGATATTTGGAACTATGTTGTACAATACAGAGACATATACAATACAAAATAATGTGTCATGGAAGTACATGGAGTAAAGCCCCTTTTCTCTGTCCTGAGAGTACACAACAGACCAGTGTTGTAGTCAAGTCACCAATTCACGAGTCCAAGTCACTCTCAACTCACCACTCTTCGAGTCCGAGTCCAAGTCCGAGTCACCTAGGGAGAGTCGTAGTCGAGTCCGAGTCCAAGTCCGAGTCACCCAAGGAGTGTCCGAGTCGAGTCCGAGTCATCATTACCTGTGTTCGAGTCCGAGTCCAAGTCCGAGTCACCCAAGACAACACACTCTCACTCCATAAACGTCCAGGAGCGACGCTTGGTCAGGGTCCCGAGGCGTGCAGTTGGGACGCTCCTAGGCTCCTTCAGATTCATAAACAGACGCAAATAGCTTTCAACTGATTGCAATGTATTCCCATCTGCGGCGGGATTTGACGCTTAGGGAAGCACGGCATTCGTTTGTGTCGGAGGCTGTTAAAGGCAATGTGAGCGTCCATTCCCATTGGATAACGGAGAATTGTACACCCGGAAGTAAGTATTCCCCTTACTGTCGATTGATTTGACAGTGATATCTCCACTACTCATCAACTCAAAAACACCAGATTATCCTTGTTAATTAAACGACATTCATAGGTTTTAGTGTACAATGCTTTTGTCACGTTTTCCCCTTTAATTCTGAGAAACAAGTCGTTTTCTATGAGTTTTGGATGGCCGAAGACATTACATTACCCACAATGCTCTGTAGCAACCATAGACTGTATATTGCAACAGGCAACAGC